GGGTCAATTCAATCGGTTCAAACTTGACTAAGTCATTTAGTCAGTTTAGTCAAAGCTTAGAAGTGTTTTTGCATGGAACCAAGATAGAACACATTAAAATCGGGGATGAACCGAGTAACCCGTGAACTATTCAGTTTAAATGCTGCCCAATTTCAGTATTTTAATTTTGATCGGATAGTCAGAAATAAGATATTTAAATTAAAAATAAAGAAAATATAATATTTTTAAATTATTTTTTAGAGTATTGCTGAAAATATTCACAATTGTTGTTTAAATCGTTATTAATGACATTAATATATCATTATTCTATTATTTAAATCATATTAAAATTATTTAAATATTTATTGCATCATCCAGTTAAACCTACAATTAAACCATTAAACCTTAAATCTTTCATTATTTTGGTTCGACATTCAGTCAAATTTCCACAACCTTAATTATATATGTAAATATAAAAAAAATTGTGTGGCATGTATAATGTGCCCAAAAAGTCTTCATGGCATTCAAATCAGTAATCATTTGTTAGATATCAAAACTCATTACAAAATCATTCTTAATATATGTTATTTATAAACTTACAAGAAAATCATCTTTCATTTTTATTGAGAGATTTATTATAAATTATTTCTGATGGGATTCGATTGTAAATGTTCAGATCGAAATTTTAAATATATATTTTTTATACCTATAAAGCCTACCAACTTTATAAATATTATTAATTTAAAATAATTGATATACATATGGAAGATCAAATGCTAATAATTAATAATTATGTAGTATTTATTTAAATCTATTAATCATCTCCTATAATTGCGTATCTAAAGTGGCTATGAAAATATCAATTTTTAGTAATATTTTTATATAATAATGTCTTTTATGACTAGAGCATCATAGAATTCCAAAGTATGAATTATTCATATCTTGAATATATATATATATATATATGTCTTTTCAGTGTTCATATCTAAAATATATATACCTTATTTTTAAAAATAATTTTATGTTATGGAACAAAGAAAATTATCATGTGTTTTCTTTAACTTTGATGAAGATGTTTGGTTGTTGATATGAAAGGCAATGTATTCAAGATATCTTGTAGCTTCTTTTGTAATGCTTTATAAAGATTATATGCAATTTTTAAAATTGTTATCATAAGACGCGATATGACAATAAAATGATAAATGTGTCGTGAGGGTTCGACGATAGTTTTTAAGGAAATCGAGTGGTGGGGATTATAGATTGAGATTGTCAGGTGAGATAGACGCGGGGCTTTGAAGAGAATTCATGGTTTATATTTTTCTTTTTGTTTAAAAAGATTGGCGGAATGGAGGATCCTCCAACCAATCTCATGTGCAAATTTGAATCTCGTTTGGTCGAGGATTCGAACCCGGGTACGGACTCACCTACTCCCGGTGTACAAATTTCATATATATATATATATATAACTGCCATCTTAGATTTTTAATAATTATAAAATATTATGCTATGCAATAAAAATTTTACCCCCGAAACATAAATGTTAAATTATAATTATTTTAAATAAATTCTCATAATAATTATCCTATTAACTTTAAATATAAAAATTAATTATTTTTAAAAATATTACATGTAT